GGGAAGTCCGACAATACTTTTTGGATTGACTTTGTATTTCTCTCCCCTTTCGCGCCGAACTCTCGCGCGCATTTTGCGACGTGTGAAAAACGGTCGACTTACTTCATCGGACCAACGCGGGGGATTTTAGTTCCGTCTGTGTCCCCACACTCAATTTCCAAAAATCCTTGGCACACCCCATCTTGCTGTTTTTCTGGGCCCTTTTTCCGCACTTCTAGCACTCCGAACGAAAGACAGCACAGGGCGTGAGGTTGGTATCGGAGCCGACACGTGTCGGTTCTGATGATAGTAAGTCGAACTGGCGAGAGGTAGAAGAAGCCCTCAACCAGCTCGAAGAGACCGCCCAATGACCAGGTCTCGATCTGGTGCGGTTGTGCCCGCTATGCCAATGGCAGACAGTAATAGGGTGATGGTTAGCATTCCTGCCCCCTTCCCCTTCTTCCCTAACCATATCCACCCTGGAGCTTGGGCGGAAGCTGTCGAAGCTCAAGGATATAGCGCGGGTGATCTTCCCCTCGTTCTTACCTTGCTACTTCGTAATACGGCGCATGACTAGTTCAGAAAGCAGGCGTGGGTAGATTGGAATACTTTCAAACAAGCGTTCTTGGCCCGATTTGATACGGTCAGTGAAGATCCCGCCTGATACGTACTCAAAAATCGTCCGCAAGGACCAGGGGAATTGCTGCCTGATTTCGTGGATCGATTTTAAACCACGTTGGATAAATCTGGGCGAGATGAGAAATCCGCTCGAGATTTGTTCATCGATCATCTACGAAGTCCGACGTTGAAAGAGAAGTTACAGAAAAAGGTTCCCCCGAAAACTCACCAGTTGTCGGCTATCATCGCTAAAGCCCTCAAGTTAGACCTGGCCGATACAAAGAAATATATTAGTGAGGGAGACGAAGACATCACAGATACGATACAAGATGTAGGAGCTAAAAGACGATCGTGGTTACGGGCGGTAGAACGGTTTTATCCCCATGACCTCCCCGACGGGACCGCCTCTCATATCCCGTTAGCTTTGTCGTCCTTGCCCCCAACGAATCCACAGGTAGCGGCAGTTAAAAGCATAATCCCCAATGATTCTCCCTCTCAGGCCGTAACAAACTTACATCTTGAACAAATGATCCACACGGCCACCACCAAGCAATCGGAATGGATGAGCAACCTGGTTCAAATGCAGGCAGCGCACATGGAGCGGATGGAACAGATAATGAGCAGGCTAATTAAGCCCAACCTGGCCCCTGCTCGACCTGCCCCGGCATCATTTCCCCTCTTGCTTGCCTCGCCTACACCTGCGTACGCCCCACAGTTCCCTCACCCAACTAATCCAGCAGGAAAGGTCGAGTGTTTTAACTGCAAACAACCCGGACATTTTGCCCGGGACTGTCCGCAGCCGAAACGTAATCAGCCCCCGCCAGCCGCGACCCCTGTAGCTATGAACCAAGGACGAGTGGCCGCACTGATGGACACGGCCCAAGGAGGGGAACTTGTTGCATATGAGCAACCCTCCCCCTCAACGACAGTTGCTTCAACCTCGGGAGCTTCTTCCTCCTCCGACGCTGCTGACGTGGTCGATCCACTCGAGTATCTCCATCTCGCCGGCATGGTCGGAGCGATCCGATCGGCCCATGATGATCTTGAATGGGTCGATCGCGAATCCAATCCCGGTCCACAGTTTCGGACGGGAGAAATTGATGTATTATGAGCGCTTAAGCAGTTGAATATCCGTGTTCCGATCCCGGTGGGGCATTTGCTCACCATCTCCGAAGCTGCAAACGATAAACTCCTACAACATTGCTAGAAAAATCAAAAGCGCTTCACGTCTATGTATCTGTCAATCTCGGCCAGCGGTCGGGATCCCGACCGCTGAGGTCGGCCTCAGAGGTTAATGCGGCTGAGAATTTCAAACATTTAAAAAAAAAAATAATGGACAAAAAAACAATAAAAAATTATGGGGTTGTAGAGTTTGAAGAGACCTACAACGCGGTGATTTTTGTTTGGTTTTTACAAGCGTTTTCTTATTTTAAAAAAATAAAAAATAAAAAATTACGTATTTCAATTAAAAAAAAGGTAATAAAAAAAGGAAATTTTAATTTTTCGTGTGTGTGTGTGTGTGTGTGCTTGATTGGTGGGGAAGGGCGACCCCTTCCCCACCAATCAATCAATCAATCAATAAATAATAAAAAAAAGGAAAAAAAAAAAAATGTGTGTGTGTGTGTGTGTGTGTGTGTTTGTGTGTGCGTGCGCGTTTGTGTGTGTGTGTGTGTGTGTGT